ACTAACTGTCAGACATTTACTACCTCAGACATTGTGGTCATAAAAGAAATAACGTTTTTTAAAAAGATCTGTGTGAACTCTAATCAATACCAACATTTTCATCACAGTTTTTAATATATAAATAAGTATTTTCAGATTTTATACTGGCTTACATTAAAACACAAAGATATAAGTATTATGGCTCTACAGGAGCATAAATAATTATGAGGAGGACTACTGCAATAGAATCTGACCGCTTAGTTTTATTACCAAGTATATTATTCGGGAAAGTTTAGTGAAAGGAAGAAATAGGGAAAAAAGAAAAACAATTAACAGGGATAAGAGATGCCTTAAGAAAATTTTGAAACAAAATACATCTATAAGCTTGGAAGAAACTCACCAACCACGGATTATTCAGCTTCAACCAACCGCTAACAAAGTCTATACGTCTACAGTCTAACGTGAGCTCAGGAGAATGGGGAATAGCTTATTGCTTACTGATTCAAAGCCCTCTTTTTGGAATAAAATGAAATGTTGAATTCTGTTTTGAAATTATGTTCCCCAAACCAAGCCTCCCTTATGCAATCTTTTTTTTTTTTCTAAGAAACTAGGTTTTGGGGGAATAAAAAGTTGCCATCAAATCAAAAACAAGTAAATGCTTAAAAAGTAACACTGTGTGCAATGACTCTAAATAATATTAGTTTCAGGATTTTATGCAATGACTGAAACTTAGCCACATGGGGAAATACATTGTATGGCAGATTTACCGTTGCAAAAAAATGAAAATTTCTAAATATTTAAACCAGTTTGCACTGGCGGAAACGTGTTTAGAGCTCTCCAGATCTACTGACTACAAGTTACTCATCAAGTGAACTCACGCTGTCAACAATACAGCCCTCGGCCTGTGTGGTTTCCTCAGGGATTATTATTAGATTAGGCTCCTGCAGAGGGAGTCCACCGATTAGCGAGGCAGAGACACTAAAAACTCACTGACCTGGTCATGCAGAATATGTGCTTACACTCAGAAAACAGTAACCACAATAAGGCAACACCAAAAAAAGAGAAAAAATATTTTAAAAGTAAACCTTAAAAAATAACATATATATATAGATATATATATATATATATCTATATATATATATATATATCTATATATATACACACACACACAATGAGCAGCCAATTACTGCACAACTGTCAAAACTTCTACAATCACATATGACTAGTAAAAACTTAAGACCACAAAAGGGTAATTAAAACCATGGTTAAATCCTATATCATCGGATTAAATGATTAAAGCTGTTATGTAAGAGCTTACAAATGTGTTTTGAATGTTTTTTGACCCCCTTTAACACAAAAATATGGCTAAAATGCAAATTAATTTATGTGATGTGCAAAAAATTTGCAGGTACGAAAGAACTTTTAATTAATAAATTTGGACTTACTGGTTAAAAACAGCTCTAGTCTTCAGGGTAAAATTTGTTTCAATATATCTGTATTTCACTATTACTACATTATCAGTAGATTGCCGCACATACCTCTGTTGTTCACATAATACAGTCTTCAGACTGTATCTACAAATAAAACGATCAAGAGAGAAAAAAAGCACCTATAAATAAAACAGAAAATATATTAGGAAAATGAATCTTGTGTTTTAACCTACGGTATTTGCTGTTGCCAAAGACAATGTTTTCACAAAAGGTCCCACTTTAATCTTAGCCTGTCATATATATATATATTTGTAAAGA